TGAGTCTGGAGGGGAGGAGGGGGCTGGGACATGGGTTGGGAAGGGAGCAGAGGGACGGGGACACAGGGTGGCTGCACCCCTGGGGACAGACGCCACAGGCTTTGCTGGGGGAAGGGTGAAGACGTGGCGAGGAGGAGGCATGGACTGGGCTGGACAGGAGACTCCCTAATCCTGCCCTCTGCCCCCTCCCAGAGTTCAGGCGTAGAGCTGAGCCTGCTGCCCAGTCCCAGGCGGAGGGACCGGGGGAGCATCTCCCGCTGCCAGGAGAGGGTTGAGCCAGTCTCCAGTGCCATCTGCCGGCAAATCGCCCCCGACAGCACCGCGAGCCTCGGGCTGCTCACACCAGCCTCACTCACTGCCCTGCGCTGGGACAGCCACATCTGCCCAGCCAGATCTGGGGGCTCTGCACCCACAAGCAGATCCCGAGAGCTCAGTGGCGATGGTCCATAAAGTCCAGTCCGTGTCCCACCCACGCCCCAGGATTCTTTAACATCATCCTCTCCATCCTGCCTCTTTCAAATCCCAGACTCCCACACAAATTCTATTCTATGTCCTGAATGCTCTGTGTCCACCCCCATGGGCTGGGCTGGGGGCTGCGGGCACTGCCCACCCAGGCACAACGCTGCCCCCAGGGCCATCCTTGGGCTCCTCAGCTTTGTTGCATCTGGATATCCTTGGGACCATCAGCTCTACTGCTAATGAGCTCTCTAGGAGGGCTTGGATGTGCAGATATGTGTTCTCTGCTGAGGTCTTGAGGCTGGAAGGAGAGTGGCTGTGTGCTTCACACCTCTTCCAGCGTGGCACCAAGCTCTGGTTTCCCCAAGAACACCTGGCTCACCTTGTCACAAGCTTTGACCAACTTCTGTGGATGTTACTGTCACCATCACCCTGAAAAGAAAGTCTGGGAGAGGTTGATGTCCCCCATAACCTGCCAGTGTCAGGACTCTCCAGTGCAGCACCATCTCCACCATCTCCCGCCAGTACTCAGTGGCCCCAATTTTCCCACTCTGTTGTGTGTCCTGCTCCCTGCTAGAGGGCAGGCTGCCTCTCCATGCTTTCCTAACCCCGGGCTGGGACTTTCTGGGTGACTCTAGAAGGAAATCCTCAGCCTGGTCTGCAGCAGGAACTGGCTCTGCTCAGCCGTAATGAGATGCTAATGACCCTGGGCTGCACCCAGGGCTGCAGAAGGCAATGGCCTGGGTATGTCAACATTATTTGGGGAAAAAAAAAGGCAAATCCTAGGCAGGAAAGGACCAAAAGCACAAAGAGCTGTCATTTAATGTGCAAGAATGTCAGCAACGTGCTTAGGAGCAGGTTAATGGTTGGACTTGATCTCAGAGGTCTCCTCCAACTTTGATGATTCTGTTTCTAGGGCACCAGTTTGGGAGTCGCTCTCAGGGGAGTCCTCAGCCCTGCAGGGACCACAGAGATGGGCTGCAGGGACCCCTCCAATGGGCTAAGCATCAGGGAAGATGAGGAAGCCAGAGAAGATGCTGTCAGATCCTTCTATCCCCACCAGAGAGTTCTTCTCTGTTGGCTGCAGCCAGACAGACTCATTCATTGCCAGTTGGAGGACTACACCCCCTGTGGTGATCTGGTAACTGCTCTGCACGTAGTCACAGAAGGTCACCACCTTCTCCCCCGTGCTGCTACTTCGACCCTTTATGATACTGAGGCACAGGTTGCCCCTGGAGGTGACGTGGTAGGTGAAGTAGTAGATGCCAGGGACGCGGCAGACGAAGCGACCGTAGCGGCTCTCGTAGTGACTCTTCTCGTTGGTGAGAGCGCGTTCGAAGCGGACGGGGTAGTTGGCCCGGGGGTAGGAGCTGATGCTCCTCAGAGCAGAGAAGGCAGACTTGGCGGTGGCTTTGTAGTCACCAGAGTCCCCCCGAAGTCCAGGGAGTCCTGGAATTCCTGGCAATCCCATGGGACCTGGAAAGCCCCTGGGGCCGATCTTGCCAGGGTGTCCTGGCTCTCCTGGCTCTCCCTTCTGCCCTATGTCTCCTTCATGCTCAGACAGGCCAGGGGGTCCTAGGAAGTAGGAAAATCAGACATTATGGTGGCAGCCAAGCCCCACAGGTCTGCAGAGGAATCCACCAGCACCTGTGCTGGGGGATTGTGTCAGACCTGGCAGGTGTGACACACCTTGCTCTCCTCCACCCTCCCTCCTGAGGTTCTTCAGGGTGCTCCAGTCTGTCCAGCCCCTTCAGCCCCACTTGAGAACACCCCAAAGGAACTGGTGGAAATGGACTGCTTTCCCAGGACCACATACCTGGCTCTGCCTTTGGCTGCTCTCAGCACTCACAAGATGTTTCCTCACCTGCTGCCTCCTCCTTACCTTGCTCTCCCTTTGGGCCATTCTCCCCATTTCTGCCGTTGCTGCCAGGCAGTCCTGGTGACCCTGGGATGCCTGGGATGGTGCCATAGGTCTTGCAGAGTTGGGCACTGGCAAGGTGTCCTCCAGCCAGGCAGATCAGCATCACCCACACCACCTGCATCTGTAGGAGCACAGAAAGGTGTCAAGGGGCTTTGCCCTAGGCAGTGGGAAGGATGGGGAAGGCACTCTGTGCCACTCTGGAGGATGGTGGCTGGAAGCACATCTGGGTAATACCACCAGCAAGGGAAAACATCCTACTGCAGAGCCAAATTTGCTCTCCAGATGGCTTTGGAGGGAGAGACCAGCCCCTTTGGGCATGGAGGGGCATGTCTGTCTCTTCTCACTCTTAAATACTCAGTTTACAAGAGCCCAGAGCTTCAGCTGCATGATTGATTATCTGGAACAGGTTATCCCAGAGATCTGATGTCCAGCCTGGCCATGCCACTGCCATGGGCATGTGCTGCAGGTCCTCACTGCTCCCTCAGGGGAGAAATTCCCCATCCCACCTTAGAACCACACCTGCAGGGTTAAACCTTGCCCCAGCCAGAGCAGTTTCAGCATCTGCATGTCTGAGGCACAGCTTTAGTCTTTGCAGATGGCAGTGAATCCCCAGAGCTGCCCTCCTACACCCTGTGGGTTCCCCTTGTGTCCTGCCTCATGCCTGCCTCATCCCAGAGGCAGTTCTGGATCTGGAACAGTCATCTGGGCTTCCAATCCCAGGGGTCCCACCTTCCTTCTGCCCTCCCTGCATCCCACAGTTCAGCTCCCTCCCCAGCTCCTGGTGGCTCTGGATAAGCACCAGGGATTTGGGGGCTGTCTCTGGAAATCATGTCACCCCAGCCACACTCTGGCCCTGGATGGGCTTTCCCAGCACTGAAATTCTGTGCCAGCAGGAAAAGAGGGTGGTGAGTTGGATCCTCCAGCCACAGTAGCTCTGATTTGGATGTGGCAGGTCCAAGAACTGATCCACAGGCTCCTAGCCCAGGTCCATCAGATGATAAGAGCATCTCAGTGAAGGAGAACACCCCCATGGCACTTTCCAGAGTGATGCCCAGTGCCTGATCACCCCTTTGGGACTTTCATCTCTCCCTTCCCCTGGATGGTGGTGAGTTGGATCCTCCAGCCACAGTAGCTCTGATTTGGATGTGGCAGGTCCAAGAACTGATCCACAGGCTCCTAGCCCAGGTCCATCAGATGATAAGAGCATCTCAGTGAAGGAGAACACCCCCATGGCACTTTCCAGAGTGATGCCCAGTGCCTGATCACCCCTTTGGGACTTTCATCTCTCCCTTCCCCTGGATAGGAGG